ATCGCCTGGTGCGGAAGGGTCACTTCGGAGGCGCGAGTCGCACGATAGCTGGGGAAAGAAAAGCGGCCGAAACCAACGTGGGTTGATGTACATGAGCAGCAAGGAAAGGCTACGAGAAAAGGAATCCGAGAAGAGAGCGAGCATCGGCGCCGTCGGTGGTACCTCGCACGCGCTAGCTTCTTTGAATGGTTCCTTGACATCGCGCCTTGATCCCCTCGCAGCCGAATCCGTAATCAACGAAGAACCCGCCACCGATTCCCCTCCCCGAACACAACGACCAAGCTGGTCTGTGGAACCTCCCAGCAAAAATCACAACAACGGCAACGGTATCCCCAGTCCTCGACCGATACCAACCCGGGACTCCTCCCTGCGCAAGACGGGATCCGGCGCGAAGAGGTCGTCGGCCAGAGCATCTAGAAACTCGAAGCGAGACAGCGACGGAGGCGCGAACGACACCATCCACGAGATTGACGAGCACAGCAGTAGCACTCGCAATTCGCGCGGCGAAACGGCCCGGCGAAGGCAGCTAACGACGACAAAGGAGCAAGGCCTAGACCCCGCGAGGCTTTCGGCCGATCTGCCTCGAAACCCGGCATCGTTCAGCAAGCCCCGTCCTGATATCTATAGCACCAGTCCATCGACACCGGCCAGCGCCATGTTCCCCGACTTGGACCCCGCCGACGATGGGGCGCCGTCTCCCGCTGTTGCCCAGGGGCGCCGAAGAGACCGCGAGTCCAGTGCAGACGCTCGCCACAGGCGGCGCTCCGGCCGTATGACGCCGGATCATCTGGGCGGATACAACAGTGAAAGTGGAGGAATTGGCTTGAAGGTCAAGCGTAGCAGCAGCAGACTCAAGCGACTGTCTGGCGGGACGACCCCCAACACAGATAGATCGTCTGAACATGGAATTGCCGTAGGGACCACTCAAAGTGACCAACCACACATCGCGTACGAGAGACCAACCAGTGCTGACAGCGTCGACGACGCGGTGGAGAGCTACCTGTGCAGTCCACGCCTAAGTCAGAAAATCAGACATCCACAGACGGGCCGTGTCATCAGCTTCAGTGAAGTTGGAGACCCGAGCGGGAGCGCCGTGTTTTGCTGTGTCGGCATGGGCTTGACGAGATACATTACCGCCTTTTATGATGAGCTGGCCTTGACTCTGAAGCTTAGACTGATTACGCCTGACCGGCCGGGTGTGGGAGATAGCGAGCCTTATGCCGAGGGCACTGCGACGCCTCTTGGCTGGCCTGGTATGCCTTTTGTCCCAATATGCGTTTCATCTTTGGCTAACTTTCTTCCAGACGACGTGTATGCGATTTGCCAATCACTTAAAATCACAAAGTTTTCCATCCTCGCCCACTCAGCCGGCGCCATCTACGCACTCGCCACGGCACTGCGCATGCCTCAACACATCCGGGGCAGGATTCATCTCCTCGCGCCTTGGATCCCTCCATCCCAGATGAGCGTGTTTGGCGCAAGCGCTCAGACACCGTTACCACCGACGAATGCGATCCCTACAAGCCAAAGAATTTTGAGGGCCCTCCCCACACCATTCCTGAAAGCCGCCAACAGCAGTTTCATGACGGCCACCAGTTCAAGCATCACAAGCTCGCTGCCAAAGCAAAAGAGAGCTAAGCGGGAAAAGAAGGCAGCCAAGGAAAAGGAAGCCAAACGCCCAAGCCATGATGCCCTGGAAAACAAGGAAAACGGTGATCACGGCCACGGTGACCATGCGCCAAACGATTTGGCCGAAACGCTAGCAGCAGACGAGAATATGGACCGCATCCGTCCTACTGGAACCAATCCCACAGGCCCAACGGGCTCCCAAGCTAACAGCAACGGCAACGGCAACGGCAACGGCCACCGCCCCAACCGCTCCAACTCTTCTCAGCATGGAAGGCGGCAGTCTGAAAAAGAGGAGCTTATTTCTGCAGCCGCCCAACTCGCCAACTCGCAGCTCGCCGACCGTGAGCGGCAGGAGACTTACGACAATCGCCTCACTCACGCCATCTGGCAGCTGGCAACGACCGGTGCTAACCCGGCGGTCGATTTGCTAGTGTGCCTGGAGCGGCGGCATACGATCGGTTTCCGCTATGTCGATATCACGAGGCCCGTTGTCATTCATCACGGCAGCCGTGATACGCGAGTGCCCGTCGAGAATGTCAAGTGGCTGGGCAAGACGATGCGGCGGTGCGAGGTGCGTGTCCTTGAGGGCGAAGGTCACGGCCTGATGGCTAGTGCCCTGGTCATGGGTGGCGTTCTCATGGAGGTCAGTCGTGAATGGGAGGAATGGAGCCGTGTCACGGGCGCAACAAAGAGAGAACACGAAAGGACAAGGAGGGGGACAATCGGAACGATTGGGCAAGCAAAGTGAGCTTGGCAGCCCCGAACCATCATTATCCCCACAACAGTTTTGGGTGACCTACACTGGGTTCCTGTCCAAAGTAATGTCATCTTGGACATGAACACATTGGGTCAAAGGTCAAGCATAGACGTGCGACCTGACAGGCCCGAGACTTCTCTCGTGGCCCGGGAAGCACAGCAGAGAACGCGCGAGGGAGCATCTCGGTGGATTTTAGACATCCCATGCATTACACGAGAGACGTGGGACACGGCGGTTTTGGCTTACATGTGGATCGAGAAGCGTTTGTTTTTTTTTTTTTTTTTTTTTTGGGAGATGCGCAGATAGCGCTAGGCAGTGAAGCCAATTTTCTTGGTCAATGACTTATTTACATGTATCCGTATATATAGCCTAGGTACTTGTACTCTTGTACTCATAATGTCGAATGGTAATGCATCCTGATTAGGAGGACATGGCAGATGTTTCAATTTCTATTCGTGTGGTGATGTAACTGGTGATGTCTTGTCTACCTTGTGCAGTTCAGTTGCCTAGACCCGCCTGTCCAGGCTCGGTTCTCGCTCTTCTGCCGCAACAGTTGTTGGCATTGAACCCCTTAATAGACCATTCCGTCCCAACCCCGCTGGTGATCTCATGTTTCGTTTCGACGCTATTTGGAGGGTGTCAGCAGCAAGAAAAGGGGTAACCCCTATTTCAGATACGCCAAGGATCAAAGTAAACAAACTCACCCCCCAGCCCAACCTCAATATTTCCCAGTCCCTATCACCCACCATCTTTGCTCATTTCAAGCCGGCGCCGGCACCGGCAGATTGCCCGCCCCCGGCACCGCCCCCGCCACCTCGCCCGGGTCCAGCTGCACCCGCAGCTTCAGCCCCCCCGTCGGCTTCTTCGCCTTCACCTTGTCCTTGACCCGGTTCTTGCCCTTGGACAGCCGCCTGCGCAGCCGCCCGCTCAGCTCGCGCAACTTCTTGACCGCCTTGACCGGCGCCTTTTTCGCTTTGGCGCGCTTTGAACCCTTGGACCGTTTCGACGAGGCCGTGGGGGTCGGGGTCGTGGCGGTGGCCTCGAGGCCCGCGGGGGCAGCCGCGAGTAGAGTTGTTGCTGGGCCTGTGGTCGGAGGTAGCTCGGTGTGTTGCCCCCTCTGCGTCGCTGTGGGGTTGCTCGGGATCGAGTCGCGCGGCCCGTCTGAGTCGGGGAAGCGGAAGTTGTGTAGAGAGGAGCGAAGTGTTGCGTTCTCGGAGTTGGCTGACGAGGTCGAGGCGCGTGATTGTTTCAGGGTGGGTGGTTTGGGAGGGCTGGCGGCCATGCAGGGTGGAGCGGGGGACTTGGAGGGTTCTTTGGCAAGTTGTTTGGCGGGAGCTGGGTTGGGCTTCTTCTTGGCGAAGGGGTTCCAGCCGAAGCCGAAGCCCGAGCCCTCGTCGAGGGAGGAGCTTCGACGGCGTAGCGGGAACATCTCATCGTACATCAATAAGCGTGGCGGTGCTGTGTTCCTTGCGTGCAACATTGCTTGGTGATGAATGTGGTGTTGTATTTGCTGCTGCTGCTGCTGCTGCTGTTGAAAAATTTGCTGCGCTTGCCGCGCCATGTGCATGTGTGCGTCCATGGCTTGCTGGGCCGCGTTATAGGGCGTTATCAGTGGTGGTGGCAGAGATTGAGAAAAGAGCAGCTTGTCCAGGTACAGGAATGATGAGTAGTAGTAGTAGTAAGGTGAGGAACGACAAGTCTCCTTTTCAATCAAGGCACAACAGGTAGGGGACGAAGGTACGGGGATGATGATCTGATTACGACAGGAGCAAGGTGTTGTACATGAGCTTCGCTCGTAATCCGAGCAAAATAGGGCAGTCTTGACATCAGCGGTCGTTGTTTCCATGTCCGTCTGCTTTTCGGCAAGCAGCATATTCTCCTGTGGTTGATTGTCGGTGTTCCTTCCTGAAAGCAGATAGAGTGGATGTAGTTGCCAAAGATGCAAAGGAAACCAGCATGGTGGTGACTTCTGATAGCTCGGAATCCAAGACATCACCATGCAACCACGCAGCACCCAAGAAGGCGGCTGGCTGCTTGGTATTTACCCATGTTCGATACCCAATAAACTGAGGGTGCCCCGGTCTACCAGCGTGGCGAATTTTGCCAGAGGGAGATGTCCAGCTCAATGACGATAGTTTTGGGGGTTTATGGCCAGCCGGGGTGCATTGTTGCTTGGGTTTGGGATGGTGGGGGAATGAGGGCGGTGATGCAACACGAGGTTTTGCGGAGGTGGCCTGAGTGCTCGGGGAGGTTTGTTGTGGTGCTGGTATTTGTCGCTTGGGAGCATGTTGAGAATGGAGCCATGAGATTGCAACGGGAATATGGTGTTGTTGGGCCATTGTGTGTTGGAATGGGAAGGGAATGTTTACTAGAATCGTGCAGTGTGTCGTTGGTTATTCGCGAAGGATGACCCTATCTTGGGAAACCAGGGGGAAGCTTACCTAACTAAGTACATACCAGTGACGACAATGATGGCAGTCATGCGTGTCCATTTCGTATCGTATAATCAGATTGTTTTGTGGGCCTCAAAAGAGATGCAGACATAAAAAGTACTGGGAGATTTCGATAATTTCAAGATCTAAAAGAAGACACAATAGAAAAGGCATAAAAAATGCACTCCCGGTGGGACTCGAACCCACAACCTTGTGATTGACCTCTACATAGAAGTCACACGCTCTACCATTGAGCCACGGGAGCCTATTGGTTTATGTGGTGGTGGGCCGATATCGTAACCCATATACACAGTGCCAAGGAATGTGTTTAAACTGTGAAGTATTGGCATGTATCCGTGATACCTCATCGTTTGAGCATCCATACTGGCTACGTCACCAAAGCACAGGAGCCAAGGAAATCAAACCATTCAACTCGCTGAGAGGAAGGAGTGGAATAGGTGTTTTAAAGGGATCTCATTTTAAATGTGGGCGTGTTGTTGAGCGGATTGGAGGGCGCCCCCACAAGACGTGAATGTTTTCACCTTGTGTTGATCGGGGGATAACGAATTACTTCTGCATAGATGTATTTGTAGCGCTAAAATGTGCATGAGATATGGTCAACTCTGGGAAAACTGTAAAGGTAGGTGTGTTTGGTATCCGATAGGGGCGCCCTTACTCATTGATGCGTGGCTCTATCGACTGTATGCATGGGATTCCAAATGGGGGATCCTGTAGGTACTGCTCTTCAGAGAGAAGAAAAGCAATATATAATTGCTCCAAGGTGCAGCCCATAATAATGTGTATGTGCATCCTAAAGTTACTGAAAACACAAATGTGAGAACATGAAAGAGTGGCATCCTTGAGGCCAAAACTCCACACGCGGTGGCCTCCCGCAACGACCAATGTACATACAGACGGCCCACTAGTTCAAGTTTTGCCCTGCAGCCACATGCTTGGACACATCTACACACCCAGCGAGCAGCAACATCACCACTTGACTTCATTAACAAGATGCCCTCACAGCCTCCCTCTCCGGAAATTCAACCTGTCGCGATGCCCTCCCCCGACGTAGAGATGCTACGCGAGGTACTTGAATTCATTAACGAGATCATGCCTACACCGCCTCCCTTTCCAGAACTTAACCCTGTACCCTACCTCAGCCTACCCGGGGAGATTCTCGAGGCAGTCAAAGACCTAGGTGTCGCCAACCAGGAAATCGCAGATATGGAGTGGATTGAGGCCCGGCGACCCTTCATGTCCCAGGGAGAGCTAACCCACACCGAGCGGGTGGCCACGACTGTGCGGGACATTGGCCGGAATGATCAGCTAGCTCCCGCCCACTGTGACGGTCGTTTGCGTTGTGGAGGGCATCTCGTTCTATGAGCTGCCCGAGTTTGAAGTGGACATGACGGAAGCGTTCGGATACATAATCAGCATGATCGATTGGGAAGAGAGGCATGGGCCCCTGGCTTCTCTTAAGGTGCTGGCGACGAGCCCAGTTGAGAGGGGGCTCTATCGGTTATATTTTGGGGGAGATGATGATACGATCGTGGAGATGCGCACGATGTAGAGAATGCGGGCGAGGTCGAGAATGGTGTCTCGTCGTTGAGTTGATTACTACCTACAGGTAAGGTACCTACCTGTTTACCTAGCCGTTGGATTTCCCTTCACTGAGGCGAATTTGTCTCACAGATAACAAAAACCAGTTTGAGTCCCTTTGCCCCCTTCCCCCGCCAGAACTTGCCTGCTGTGTCGATCAGGAATTAGTAATCAAATATTAGATCATCAACAGTCGGCTCGACCTATGACCTCCATCATATTTCAGAACATCTTCAGCTCAGGAAGCTTTTCGGATTACACGTCAAACTTGATCTTTCGCGTCTTTTCCGTAGTACCCCTCATAACCCGGCCGATTTCCGAATTTACACGAGTCATCAGCAAAAGGTTCAGAAGCTTGCAGAAGGGCACACTACTCACCACTGAACATGGAATCGAGTCCGTTTAGGATCACACGGTCATCGAGGCGGCGAAAGCGCAACGACAGCGCAACGACAGCGCAACGACAGCGCAACTACAGCAGCATGGCGGTGATGGGGACGAGGAAGTTGAATTCGTTTTCGATGCCCCCAAAGCAACTCTGGGCCACGCAGATGGCGGTACGAATATCCTTCTCGGTCGTATCAAATGTGCGCCGCTGTTCGGCGAGCAACATCTCCTCGCGAATGTCGAGGATTCGCGAGGTCCAATCGGTCCGCGACGAGGACAGCGGTTTTGACAGGGACCACGTGCAGCCCCGACTCGATGAGATCCAGGACGTACAAGAGAGAGCTTGATCAAAACATGAAGTTATTGATGCCGCAGTTCCTCCACCAAAGATGGTTGCTTAGCTGGCTCGCGGCCACGCTCGGTGGCAGATGGAATAGGTCGTCCTGAATCCCCGGGGAGAATGGGAATGAGGGGACAGACATGGTTGAAATGATGGTTCAAAAGGGGGTCTCTTGGAAAAGGGGGTCTCTTGGAAAAAGGGTTTGTGTGTAAATAGTGACCGATGAGGGAATCCAGCCGGGTTTAGACCCCTGAATGTCCCGTCGTGTTTCTTGTAAGATCGATTGGAAGTATCTCCACTCAAGATTTTGAAGGCGAATGAAGAAAATGCAGGCTACCGACATGGTTCGCTGGCCAGCTGCTGGGTCCATGTACCATATTAGTGCACAGGATCCCTAGCAAATGAACCCCTGAGCCAGGTACCTGGGTACCTTCGTGCCTAAAAGTTATCCACATATAGGACCTAGTGCACTTTTCCATTCAGTGTTAGGGTTATATGTGGAGAATGGAGAAATCAGCGCGAGATGATGAGGCTATTCCCAGTGCTCGGTCCGGATCCGGGAGGTTCCGATCCAAGTACCGGAGGATGGGATGAATACCGGTCGGTAACACCTGCGGCCAAGTCAGTTACCATCTCGGTCTCCCTCCGACTTCGCTCTCTGAATGGCGGAATATAGGCCGGCTGTGCTTTGTCTGTATCATCGATCGCGACACTGATATGATTTCGAGGAAAACGGAGTGATAACAGCATGGCGGTAATGGATAAAATCTGATGTTATTATCTGGCACTCATTGTATAAATGTGGTATCTAAGTAGGTATCCATCGCCTTGTATGATTGCATCCAAGAGCCCGCCATTTGCATTCTCCCACCTCCCTCCCTATCTGACCCCTTAACGTGTTGGGGCGGACATCTATCATGACAAGTTAGGGGGTGTTTCCAAAGCAAAACCGAGCTCACGGGTCGGGGCACATACAGCGTGGGACATACCTCATTGACGCAAGTCGCATTTGGCCTTAACTGCCTCCTTTGAGATTGGCCACTGACCCGTTGAATGAGGCTTTCGTCTTAGAGTACACCTGGACGTCAAAATAGTTGCCTTTTCTTATTCTTGTTGCCATATGGTGGTTGCTCGGCTCCATCATTTGTATTGTAGCTTGACACCGACATACATGGCGGTGTTTATTGTCGAGCCCCTGTCGCTCCCCTGCCTTCCTCAAAGAGTTAACTGTTCCGCCCCCATTGCCCTCGTCTAAGAGCTGAAAGACGAAAGGTTGGAGAATCTGCCCCCCTGCAATTGGCAAAAGGGCGTCTTGGTGGGCACGATGCGACGAAGCAGGTTGTGTTTCTGGGAAATTCGGGTTGTTGCGGCGACGTGGTGAGTGATGAAGGTGATGCGAAAAGTTGCATCTTACTTGAATGCGGTGCATACGAACGAACTCGGCTATATACAGCGGTGTTTTCCATGGTGAAAGCAACAGGCAATATTCCGCTGGCGTCAGCGCCCAGCATGGGCCATGGCCCTGGGGCTCGCGCGACTTGCGCTGCGGCTGCCCCACTCTACGTGTAGTATGGCACGGGGGAGAATCAATGCCTAACTATCTGGGTCGCATCCAATGGGTTGCTGGTAAAGGGTGACGCCCCCCCCCCCAAAGACGTATTCTAAGACGTGGACTGCACCGTCTTGTGACACACCAAGCCAGCCAACTTCAGACCAATGAAGTCGGCCTCGTGTTGTCTGCCGGGCCGAGATAACAGCTATTAGCAACGTGGAGCTCAACTGCGAACGTCTCGGCCCAGGCCGCGATATTCTCCAATTATGTGCTGCTTGCTATCTTCTGCCACTTGAACACTTTAGTAAGCATTGAAATGATTTTTATCAGAGCCTTTGTCACACTCTTTTGAAAAAAAAAAGAATCCTCCTGCCGTGTAACCATATGCCTGCCGCTCAGAGATAGCCAAGGCGACTGGACGAGATGAAAGAGGCCTTGCCGTGGCTCGTGGCTGCTGCTCATTCCATCGCGTTGGCATCACTTGCGGAGGCCATTCTATCTGTCAGAACTGATGACACGAGTCTAGGGAGTTGTCGACGCGTAATTGGAGATGTTTCCTAGTTCCGATGAACTGATGACGCCGAGCGGGTTTAGCACGGCATTTGCCACCTCCAGTGGTACACCCCTGAAAATGACTGATACCTTCGAAAAATACGGCCATGTTCTGAGATGGATTTAAGTACTTAGGATGGATGATAATAATACTGACACGCAGATGAGCGTGGAGTACTAGTACAAGAATTTGAAGCTCTCTCTGACATGCTCGTGGCGAGAACACGTACCTCCCAAGGGGTCAACTTCCGAGCATGTTTAGGGGTATTTGTGATTGGCCCGACCCTCGGGCCTGTCCAGAAGTGTAAAGTGCCACATAGCCGACCTCCATCATCGACCCGTAGCCATCCCGGGTGTTGCCGTCCGGGTAGCCGGGCTGTTTGAACGTCAGCTATCCACCTCTAATCTCGAGAAACATGAGGGAAAACATACCCAATTCCCCCCGACAGCGACATTCAGAAGAAAGTACATAGGCCTTTGTGCCAAGCTCGCCCAGACATCCGGATTCCCAATCTGGCCGCCCGTGATCTGGTGAAACAGCTGGTCATTAAAAAACCAAGTGACGCTCTCCGCCTGCCAGCCCCCGGCCGTCCGGTCCCACACGACGCGCCAGCGCTGAAAGTCCTGGTTCGGGATCCCCACGGACCCTCCCCGCCCGGTGGGCTCGTTGCATGCCCCGCCGGGGGTGACATCGCAGTGGGCGGTGCCGTAGCCAGTCAGCAGCCCGTTGACCGTCTCCATGACGTCGATCTCGCCGCACGCCGGCCACCCGCCAAAGTGCCGGAGCGAGTCGCCCAGCAGCCAGAAGGCCGGCCAGATGCCCCGCTTGGTCTCG